TAACGTACCTATCCAGCTACTAACGGTTGCGCTTTTTTGAACAAAGCCCTCCAATGGTCTCGGTTCCATGCATCGGATGCGGACCTCTACAGCTTTGCGAAATGTTGCTTTTGAAGGAAGTCCTACCCTTAAGGAAATCCGTGGTAGTTTGGGGTGAGATAGTGCGCTCCATCTTTCAAAAACGACACTCAAGCGACGTAGAGGGGATGGAGAGTGTTATGGGCCTCCTTTTGTATGGAGGGGGGGGGGTCATAACTACAGGGCAACTTTCTCAAAGTGATATCTAACCCAGTTTCGACGGCGGGTAAGACCCAATACAAGAGCTGACTCGCTCATGGGGTAAGCGTGGACCAGTAAGTCGTGCCTCTCAGACGAGATCACCCAAAAAACAAAAGGCGGGAAGAGATGAATGTGGAAAATCTCGACTTCAGTTCAGCTCCTGGATCAAGTTGAAAGCCAATATAGAGCAATCCTATTCAGATCATTTAGCAAGTTTTTTTACAGGAACATACTTTTGAATTACGCTACCGCTTATCCTCATGTGAATTATATTCAAGGAATGTCTGACTTGCTGGCTCCACTATTAAGCACTATCAGGTAAAAACGGCTCATTTCGTGGATTATTCGCAACGCTTACTCAGCTCAGTCATGATTTTATATTAGCGATTATGTTACAGGGATGAAGCCGATACCTACTGGTGCTTCACAGGGCTTATGCAGCAGACAGTATTTTCTTCTTCTCCGAAGGGAAATGAAGGATTGATGGAGATAAATCTGGTTTGTTCGCTTTGAATTGATGGAATTTTTGACACCTCCTAAGAGGGTTATCATGACAGGAATGCTTCTTTTCCTCGCGTGCGAGGATCTATTACATATAACGGCTTGGATAGGTATGTAGGAGGAGATTCTCCTACATAATCTCCAATGCGACTTTTAGATTCTCCACTTGGGTGGAAAAAAATCGAATCAATGCGCTTTCAGGCGTATCCAATCGCGCTTCGGGCGCCATTTTTGCTACTCTTCAACTCACCCAAATCGATCTATCGTTTCAGAGCAAATCATCCTTAGGGATTTCCCAGCAGGGAGGGGCGTATTTGATCGCGGTGAGGGGCCGTATTCGGTTGGAGAAATTTTTTCTTGATGGTTGTTTTTTCTTGCTTCACGGTTGCTATAAGAGCTGGGGGTCGTATTCCTTCCGGGAGGAATTCGCGGGAATGGAAAAATTTCCGCGTTTTTCGTAGTCTGTTTCACATGTAACTTATCCTCCTATCCCTGACTCAAACACACAACAATCAATTAATCTACATCATTTATTAACGAACTACTCACCGCACTACAATGGTTGTTCTCCCCTGGCCGCCGTTCTCCGTGGGCTTCGTTCCATAGCTGAGTACGTAATAGGCCCCGTGGCCTTTGCCCCCTCTAAAGTACGCCGCTAAGGCCTGTTAAGCGCTTTCCAAATCCCATCATACGTATTTATGCCGGCATTGCTCCTCATCGCTCCATGCGGTCGTCGATGTCCTCATCGGGGCTGGAGTGGAGGCTGCTCCCAGTCGGGGAGCAGGGGATGGACATCGGCCGGCTCATGGCCGGCGCCGGCTGCCTCTCCGGCTTTGGAGCGGAATCTTCACCTCTCCCCCGTCGGCGGGCTGTCCTGGCGTACCCGCGTGAAAAACCAACCGGCAACCGGCTGCAGCCACGGGGACGTACTATACTGACTGTTCGATCACAAGGGGCCGGATATCCACGGCGCACGTGAAGCGCAACGCAGTGGGAAGCGGAAGCGGGGATGGCCGGGGCGGCGAGGTGCGCCCAAATTCGGCGACCGTCGCAATTCCGCGACATGCCCCCTTACTCCCGTGGGTCCCAGATTTGCCAAGTGGGTGGATTTACTGGTCCGCGCATGCAGCACGTGTTATTTCCTCGCTTTCGCAAAGTTGCACAACAGAGATGGAGGGTAGTGTTACTCGGATGCCGTCTCCATACACCGCCCGCGCTACCGCACGGTAACGCACCTAACGGTAGTCGAAGGTTACCGTCTACCATCTGTCGAAACGCTACATCTACGCAGCGTCTATCGCGCCACTAGGCGTTCCGAATCACCGGCAGTGTGAGCGAACTAGGACATCGTAACATAGCGATTCCAACGTTCTTCCAGCGTCCAGCAAACGTCTGCCGTCTGCCGTGACTACGGAATTATAGGTATCGATCTCGCGTCTGCCAGCGTCTACCAGTGTCCACCAGCTTTCACTGTCGACAGGAGCTAGAGAATAAGGGGGATCGGATGGGCGGGGAGGGGGGGGGGGTGGGGTGGAGGCGGGTAGCAAACAGCTGGTGCAGTTGTATGAAAAACTGTCTCATGTTGAGAAAAGCGTATACTTTCGGGCATAATGTTTAAGAAAGTGGTTTTCGTTTAAGATGGATTTTTTTCTGAATTGTTGATCTGAATTGGGAGAGTTCCGCTTCCATAACTTTTCTACCAAGCTAGTACCGTGGCACAGAATGTAAACGCAAAATGAGCTTCTCCTTTATGATAACTGCATGGAATTCTGTAGCTCCAAACATAGCGGCATTTCTTTCTGACACTTTCGAAAATTCCTTTCAGCTTGAACGTAATTCTTTATAGGAATACCTACGTGAACTTCTGAAGCTTGTAGCATTCCGCAGCTTCTATCAATTAATCTCTCGGTATGCACGCAGGAGACAAAAAAGGAGATGCTCTTCAGCTGATGTTTGTACATAGATGGATCCTTTTACTTTTCAAGCGGGAATTTCCTGAAGCCGATGCACTTCATATCTGGGAAGTAAGTTGATGTGCTTCACTTACTTTGTAGGGATAGGTCATTCTTGAAGTCTCGCCTTTCATAACTATGATAGCCTCTAATGCTACTGGAAACCTATATTTTCTGGGCGGTGTATAGAAAAAACTTACCAAAATATTCTCTGAGGTTTTGAGGGCCCGTGTATAGGCGCGCATCTTCGCCCCACAATATTTCTCAAATATTTTTTTTATTGCTTTCTTTCTGAAAGTTTTGGCATGTTTGAACCATCCCTAACCCAGTCTTCCGAATCAAGGCCAGTTTTTTCATCGAATTTTTTCTACGAGAGAAGATTTGGCTGAAAATTTGTTCCCAGTGGTAGTTCGGCCTCCTAGACGCGAATATCCATCCGCTCTGCACAAAACTACATGGCGCCCGCTCCACAGGCGTCACCAAGTTCGCTGAAAACTTGTCCCTAGGGATAGTTTGACCTCCATATCACAACTGATTGGCCCGAAACCACCTGGCTCCTGCGATTCAGGCGCCGGCGCCAAAATACCCTCGGTCATCCGAATTGATGAAAGGTTATATATGGTTGTTATTTGACATCCTGACACGTATATGACATTCTACTGACGCCGCCGCTAATGGAGGAAACTACTATCGTCTGCGCTCTGCTGAAGCTGAGCCTGGCTCAAAGGGAATCATACCTCTTCCCAGGTTCAGCCTTATTATTACTAGAACGCTAAATGGTGCTGGTGTCAAAAAATAATGCCATATTTGTGATCAGGGCACCAAAGAACCCTTAACACGCTAGTTTACCGATATTGTGCGAAAGGGGTATGACGCCAGATTGGCGCCTGATTGCGCCAGCGTCAAAAATTATAGCCATATTCGTGGTCGGGATATCAGTTAACTTCCGTGTACAAGTTTTCATCCATTTTGGTGAAAGAAGTGGTGGCGCCAAAATGGTGCCCAACGGCGCCGAATGGCGCCATCGCCAGAAAGACGTCATATTCATGATCCGAACTACCCCTATACTCGGCGTTTCAGCAGAAACTTTTTTGTGTCGCTGGGGTAGGAAATGTTCAACAATGCCAAAAATTCTAGAATAAAGTTATTGAGCTGCGTGATAAGGGATGCCTCGCCTTTGTACCAAAACTCATTTTATAGGCGTGCTGGGCGCAGTATCGTACGAATTTCTTCCATCTGTTTGTATGTTGTGCAATTGTTTCTATATATGGTGATGACGTCATTGCGCAACGGTTACCGCATGACGAGATCCTTCTTTATTTCTCTTCATTGGCAATGCATATGGATGGTAGATTAGTTCTCAAAAAGGTAAGGTATACTGCTGGTTTTGAATTGTTTAACGATAGGCATTCTGTCATCATTTCTTCTATGCTTCATTACTCTGAAGGCATCATGGAAACATGGCACCTTTCCAAAATCTAGCTGAAATTGGCACAAAATTAACAAAGTAGTTCCACACCGCTTTGTATTCGAACGCTCATCTTCCCCACCTGCCAGTCTCAGGCAGCGTTCAGACTTCCTGACGGCAGCGCTTCGGTCGCGCGTTCGACAAGTCTGAACGCTGCCTTACAAACCCTGCCCTTTGGTTAAACGTGGCTGTGAATAACTTCGCGCCATACCCTTAATTTGAAGGCACGCGGTCTACTGCACCATTTTTCACGTCGAGAAACGATCCCGTGCACACTGGTTGGATTATGCACAACTGAACTGGAGCAGTGGGATTCACATCGTGTAAAGCAACGGTACGAATGTAATAAGGTCAGTGATTCGATAAAGCTGCGTTGATGCTTTGGCAGCGTCCATCAGCGTCTACCAGCGACCACTAGCGTTCCGAGCGTCTGGCAGCGTCAGCGACTAGGAAAGTATAGATATCGATCTAGCGTCTGCCAGCGTCTGCCAGCGTCTCGAGGGCTAAGGAAGGAAGTAGGAGGTATCGATTCAGCGTCCGCCAGCGTCCACCGGCTTCAGCAGCGACGGGGAATAGAGAGCGTGGGGAAGTAGGGGGGGGGGCAAGCAGCTGGAATTAGGCGTCGTGAGATTGCGGCGTGCGCAACCGCACCGCACAACTGCTAAAGCACACAATTATGCAATGTTATGTATGGTGTAGTGTGCTGTACGGTGCAGTCGTACGTGCTGCGATTTCACGACGCCTAATCCAGCTGCTTGTTAACCTCCCACTCCCCCATACTCTATCGCGGTCGCCGTTGAGTGCTGATGGACGCTGGTGGTAGACACTGGCAGACGCTTCGATTGTTACCTAACCCTCGAGATGCTGGTGGGAGCTGACAGACGCTGGTGGACGCTGCCGCAAAGTATGAACGCAGCCTAGTGAAGATGTCGGTGTGTTATTCGTTGATTTAATCTTGCTTGTTTAGTCTCACGGTAATAAACCTTGTCATTTAAACGCATGAGATGGATATTTCACGGATATTAGCCTGTTCATCGCATTTGATAGTGATGTCTTATCAATCAGTGTTATTTGCAAATTATTTGTATGAATGTTGACTAACCGCTGTTGTTTTTCTGTCTTCCCTATTTTCTGGGGTATGAAGCTCACTTTGTATAGAGCACACCTTCTCTTCAAAGGTGAATTTTTTGTGCGCTGTTTACGTATGATCTATTTTGAATAATAAGCAATGTAAAGAAAATTAGGAAATTAGAATATGCAATTTGCTACGGTTCCCATGTAGTTGCTACTACCTACAGAAAATTTTCTCGCTGTCGCAACCATGCAAAAATGCGCTTATACCCCAGAATTAGAGAAATAGTGTGATAATTAACAAGTTGATGACATTATGAGCCACTGGTGGCTCACATGCAAGTGGCCAAGTGGGACAATATGAACCACCGGTGGCTCGACCTTTGCACCAATTTTTGCGTTATTGACGTCAGTTTCTATCAATCGTTTTTTTTTAGTATTTTAATGACTTGACTGAGAGGTGAACTTCCAACGGGGATGAGCGAGAAAAATGCGCTCGTCTGAAATATGGAAGATTTCAAATTGAAATTGAAGCTTTCCAACTAGTTCCAACTAGCTGTCGCTAGGCTACTAACCTCCTAAATAACCTTCGGGGATAAAGCCTCGACTGCAGGCATTGCATGGGGCTCTGACCACGCATGTCTCATCGTATTTGTCATCGACGCCATATTGCACCAAAGGGCACCATTCTGGCGCTAGTAGTCTTCTTTGCACCTAGTTCAACATAAATTTTTATACGTGATTTATAACTTTATGCCTTTTTTCTAGTCACCTTATCACAGATACTTCATTCTTTTGTGCTGGCTCAGTATGGCGTCAGTAGGTACCAGGTTGGTGCCACTAGCTTTTTTGCTACCGAACCAATACTAACTTCTTCGTCTGGGCTGTTGGATATCATTTTTACAGAAATGTTCTTCCTCTTTCCCGCTGGCGCCATGTGGCGCCACAATCTATCTAGCGAAAATCGATGCAAAAGTGCGCACTGCGGATGTCTGACATCCCAATAAGAAATGTGGTGTTTATTTTTAGCGTCAGCCTACGTATAGCACCCTGGC